ATTTAGGTCACAGTTCCCTTCAGAGGAAACCTAAGAATATCTTTTGACTAGTAAGTAACCAAACTGTGTACATTATGTTGGGGATCTAACCACAAAAATGCACAAAAAACTATATAAAACCATTTTTTTTTTTGGTTGCCAGTGGACACAAGATGCATAAGTAACCCTCCTTTATATATTTATAGATATTTTCCACACCGCCATATCAATCACTGATGTTCTCTGCTTCAGCTGCCCTGAAGTTGAGAATTTTTTCAACTCGGTACTTCTCTCTTCATATCACTGTTATTTGCCTGTCATCAGTACATGGAGCTGCGTTTCACTGAGATTGCATGGTCTCTTGTAGCTATATCACTGAGAGTCTCTTTCAAACAGCAACCTCTGGAACTAAAAATAAAGCCACCGTGGACGTGCCACATGTCAGTGATAGTTTGCCTCTTCATAACAGCTGTGACAGCTGGTTTATTATTGTTCATTTTCATCCATTTGGACACTTGTAAGGTTAGGAGCTTGGAGACTTTAATTGGTGGGTGTGCCCGCACAGGCAGCTGTAGCTGATTGATAGCTGTCTGCTAAGTCTCACCACCACCAACTGGAGTCATTAAACTGGAACCCTCCAACCATGTTTGTGGTTTTGGTGCATTTTGGAGACTTTTTAACAGAAGAACCTGAAGAATAATATGATGTGGTGAGTGGTGTAGGCTGACCATGAAGACTTTAGTTTTCAGAAGTTCTAGTTTTTTTTTTATTAGTCTTAGTTCTAATAGGCAATCAGGCGACACGGCTTTAATCAAAATGCTGACATTGAGGACTCAAACCAAAACCAAAGTCTGTTGCTGTTACAGTCTGTTGACTTTCTAAACCTAACCAGATACTGCAAGCAAAATATCTAAGTTCAAAACAGCTTAGAAACAGAACATGCTGACAAACGTCTGAGTTGATCCACAGCCGCCGATCCACCATCCAAAGGCAGACTTTGACACTCTTTATCTCTCCTCGTACAATACTGCAGCTGCACAGACAACAAAGGACACCCTGTGCATATCTCTGCAATGCCAGCAGCATCGCACAGAACTGTACTTCACACACTCAGATGACACTGCGCTGTATTGTTTTTCACAGAGAAGCCTAATAAATCTCCAAAAGTTGATTCTGTTCATCTGGACGTAGCGTTTTCAGTGGGAAAACGTTTCGTCACTCATCCAAGTGACTTCTTCAGTCTCAGCTGACTGCAGGTTTCCCCAGTCTTATAAACAGACATGAGAATTTGCATGATTATGATGAAGGTGACCTCCCAGCCCATTGTTCCTTCAGTGGGCTGGTTTCAGTCATTATGCAAATGTACTATTTATAAGATCAGCTGCAGTCAGCTGAGACTGAAAAAGTCACTTGGATGAGTGACGAAACGTTTTCCCACTGAAAACGCCAGGTCCAGATGAACAGAATCAACTTTTGGAGATTTACTTACCTGGATGATTGAGAATGCATCAAGACCTAATAAATCTAGATCCCCAGACTTTTTAAACAATATAATATTGTTAAATAACAAACTGAAAATATTCCTATAGATTTTTTGAGGGGGTGGAATTTAGGATGCGAAAGGTATCGATTTAAGATCTGGAAATTTGGAAAGAAAATGAAACCCCCTCTCACAAATGGTGCCATAAAGTCTTGAGGAGTTATAGCAGTGATAAACCTTAGCTATTTATTTTTATCAAAATAGATGTTTATGTGGTGTATAATTTCTCAGAAATACAGTTCTTTGTATATTACATCAATAAAAACCGCTGAGAAGAAAGGTACTGCCAGATGAAAGTTTGGACCTGCAACAAAAACACCATTAAGGTTTTAATCAGCGTGCAGTGGGCAGAGACACAGTGCATTAACTGAGCTACGTAGCACAGAGCAGGCCAGTTATTTTGGCAGTTAGATCATTGTTTCATTAATGTGTTTTCCTCAAGAGGACAGTGCAGCTGTCCTTGAGTAAAGCACTTAAATACTATTGCTTCAATAAGCACTCGGCTACTGAGCATTCAAACAAGGGAAAAGACTACAGATGGACGGCCCTGCTGTTGTGCTATACACGAGAGTCGGGTTAAAGAACGAGAGCAGGATTTAATAATGTGCAATATATTTAAATCCAGATTTTATGAGTGAGCAAACGTGGTTAAACCTCATAATTTCCACCAGAGATTGTCTGAATAAAATAAGCTTGAATAAATAAAAACATGCAGGGTGCCGCTTAACTGTTAGTACAAACATGAACATCCTGACCCTCCCACGGACATACAAGATGGAAGCGCAGTCAGAGACACCATATGTCACAATCATTTCTTTTGACCCATCACCTCAACATGTTGAAAGAAGAATAAACAGATTTTATGTTCAACTGGCTTTATTGGTCGCCTGTATTTCCTGTACACAAAGTATTAAAAGATGTAAACCTCATAAAGTGTCTCTGTTGCTTCCTCCTCTGTAACAGCTGTCAATGTTTCTTCATTATTTTCCTGTAGTAAAGAAATAAACAACATTGCTGTTCTACTGTAAACTCATATAATCTGTGGAGTATTACTCACAACTGCATGTTGGTCTGGCTCAACAGGAGGCTGCACCAGATGCAGTACACCACCACCATCAACTGATAGAATATGAGGTTTATACAGGTCACTTATAACTTACAAGGGACCAAATGGCAATTAACAAACATACCAATCACCTTACACTTCATTGTCATTATGCTCTCAAAGACAACCAAGACTGAGGGAAGGCAAAATCAGTAGGAAAATAACTTCACTACAAAATAATCCATTATGGTAAAGAGTTTATCAAATGAATGAGCAGCACTGCAAAGGTGACTGTGAAGAAAGGATGTATGCACATCATGTATTATTTTGAATTTACCCCCTATGTAGGCACTTGTGTCTTGCGGGGTTATTGACTCAGAGGATGTCCCCGCAGAGATGCCTTCAGCCACAGGGCGCCCACTGTTTTGGCTGAGGGCCAACTGCTCAGCCTCTGTGAGTGGTGGTGGTGGAGGACCCCCACCTGTTTTTCGGGCCTCCGCTTTTTTTCTGTTGGCTATAACGGGTCACATTTGAGCATACAGAGTAAGCAAATATGTACTTGTAATGTGCTCAGATAATTTCAATAAGTGCTTACAGAAAGAAAATTAATGTAGCCTCTAACTGCAATTGATTTACATAGGACAAACAGACCAAGCACTATGGCTCATAATACAATTACACCTCACCTGTTTGGACTATATTTTTATATTTCATTTTTACTTGCTGCCAGGAACGTTTGGGGCCTGTTGGGTTGCACCTGCGCTCACATCACATCACAAAATAAAATGTATAAAATAAAAAATAAAATAAAATAAAATAACGTGTTAAATGGGTGGAAATCCCTAGATCAATGTTTAAATTAACACTCACGCATTGACTCTGTCGGCTATGTTTTGCCATGCATGCTCCCTTTCTTTTGCAGCTGAGGCTGTGTTACTTTTTTTCCGCAAAATTTGCATGTTATCGGCATATGCTGCCATCAGAATTTCGGCCTCAAGCGCTGTAAAATACATTGACCGCGCCTTCTTTCCCTCCGTCTCCATGGTGACTCGCTTAATCTGTGCTCCACTAATCAGGGCTTTATGTATCCTCGTGCGCGCGCTTAACTTGGGGTTAAAGCAACTCCGCGTTGACTGAACTAATTGTTATCAGCCTTTCTGAAACCGAATATTCCGAGTTGGACAGTTCGGGGTTACTCAACCCTGAGTATCGTTTTTCACTCTGAGTTTTCTAAACCGGCTTCCTGAAATAGGGCCCAGGAGTCAGCTGAGTTAAATCATACTATTTGGACCTTTAAATGGTTTGCACAGGTCAGCATGTTTCTGCAAGAACACTGCATGAATTTGTCTGTGCAAAGAAAAAGATGGCAGACATCTCTTGCACACAAGATATTAAATTAGTTTTCCTCTGGCTGAGCCTCCCTAAAAGATCTAAAGACCAGTGAACACAGGAGAGAGAATAATTTGGTGTGAAAGCATAATAAGGAGTGTCTGAACAAAGAAATAAATTAAAAGAATTTTCTTAAAAAAAATAAGTACTCCTCAACTTGTTCTGGTCTTGTTAATAATTTTGAAGTAACTCCTGCTGACAGCCAGCAACGCTGATTATCACTCACAAGTTGTTCGTGAAAGAATCTCATTGGCTTACTGAAGCCATACTTTAAAATCTGCAGGAAAGGAAGGCAACAAAAATGTGACAACTAGATCTGATTCACATGGTGCTGCTGGCTACTCACACACTTTTTGGCAGAAGTTGTCGGGGTTCTCTCTGCATTATTGTAGGGTCTGGTCTTTGCCTTACAATACAGTAATGCACCTTGAGATGATTGTTGTTATGATTTGGCGCTGTATAAATAAATACAGTTCAACTAACTTTAGCAGACAAATGATGTGGAAGATTTTTTATTTTATTAAATTGAAAACTGTGGATGTCCTCCTCTCTAGATTTCAATGCTAAAGAGCTGAAGAAGTTGAATGATTGCAGGGCCAATAGCAGCTTGTATTGTATTGTACGCTGGTCTTCTGTCAGTCTCATGTATGAGAGGTTTACCTGCACTGCACATGTCCAACGAATCAGGAAAAGGTGCTGGCCTCTCAGCTTGTGCAAATCCAGACTTTGTTAACAAATTCGAAACTGAAGAGCCCAGTTGAACAGCAGAGTTAAACCTGCTTCCAGAGACAAGATCCAACTGCAGCCACAAGATGGCAGTAATTTACCAACAGGCAACAGGAGAAGCTTCAGAGGACAAGAGTGCTGTTTTAGAGAGAAGGGTCTGGCTGCAGCCACTGTGGAGCTCCACAGTAACCGGATACACGTGACCTCCACACTAACTGGAAACACGTGACCTCCACAGTAGTCAGAAGCATGTGACCGCCACAGTAGCCGGAAGCACGTGACCTCCACACTAACCGGAAACACGTGACCTCCACAGTAAGCCGGAAGCACGTGACCTCCACATTGCCGTAAACACGCATGGATACCGTGGAAGTCTTGCAAGTTGATCGCAAAGGTTGGTTAAGTCTTTCTTAAATAAATTTGCCGTTAGTGATTTCATAATTCTAGGAATCGTCTAGTTTTCTTACAATGATCATGTTGCCACTTTTTTTGCGTTACAACAACATTCCTCCTTATTTTAATGTTTTTTCATCGTGCTCCATGGCAGAGAAACACACAGATATGCTTTTTCCTGGGCCTGGTTTAAGTAAGAGAGCTGGATTAACGGCTTCTGTGGGCGAGAAGAAGCAAAAAACACATTTTGCATTAGAGTATGATTTATTGTTGGCGTCAGAGATGCAAAATAACGAATACTTCAATACTGTACTTAAGTAGAATTTTCTGGTATCTTTACTTTACTGCTGTACTTTTTTGTGCCTACTGTATACTTCTTTATACTTCTCACATTTTAGCACGCGTATCTGTACTTTGTAATCCGTACATTTGTAAATCAGCACGCGTGCTTTGGACGCAAGATTACTTCAAAATTTTGTACATAAATTATATTTTAGACCCTGTACTTCTTACTTCGACTTGACTAAAAAGTCGAGTCGGTGCTTTTTAAACAGAGGTATCTAAACTGTAGTAAGGAACGTGTGTACTTGTGACACCTTTGGTTAGCGTCAACACTGTAAATTTCGTCACAAACAGATTTATATATTTATCAATACTTCTATTCGTCATTCTATTCTGTACAGCTTTTTTATTGCCCAGATTTTAGTTAGCCCCTGTTCAATTGACTGTTATATGTCAATAGAAACATGTCTCACAAATTAAAGTGTCTTGTAAAATATTTGTGTTTTTTTTCAAGAATTTTCTTCCCAAATCTATTACATGCCAACTGTAAATTGTTATTTCTGCTAAAACCTTAACTTAAATGTGTATATGGTGTTTATCTGTTTCTCTCTCTGTTTTAGATGCACACATCAATCTGGAATTCGGGCTTAAAGCCAGAATTGCAGGAATGCAACACGTGTTGCAGAGGACTCTTTCACTGCCCTCTGTGCCCCACTTTCAGCCCTACTGTCAGGGCAAAGATTGAGGAGCATCTAAGTGTGCATATAAAAAATGCTTTGCCTTTCAAAGGTATGTTTGTATTAAATATACTTTATAGTTATAAATATGCACTTTTTTAAGCACTTCTGCAGTATCTTTGTTGACTTAAAAGTTGCTGTTGATATTGTACTGTTCATCTGCAACAAAAATAGTGTTTTTATAAAATATATTTTTATTTACTTTTCACACTTTTCTTGCCATAACTTTTGTGATCCATACCATTTAACTTTCATTATTGAGGTTGGCTTGGATGTTTTTGTTAACATGTACAATCTGATTGTTAGACAAATTGATTGCATTCTATACAACTACATTTAAATTACATCTGTTTGTTTGTTTGTTTTTTTTCTCTTACAGATAAAATGATATGCCGGTGCAGGCTGCCTTGTAGGACAACAGGACACTTTCACCGCCCTGTCTGTAAGATTACAATCATACGGCGTGGGGATATGGCAAGGCATTTATTGTCTTGTCAGCATTCTTCAATGCCAAGTCAGCCACCATTATAAGGACTGCTCCCCGCTGAACTCTCCGAGGAGACCCGTATTCCTCCGGCAGTACTCTTCGAGGAGCCCCGTCTCCCCCCCAAGGTTTTGTCTTTGGTTTCTGAGTCTTTGTTAGAACATTCATATGCTCTACCCTCTGTGTTCAATAAAACTGCAGCTGATGGAAAGTCCATGAAAATGACATGCCCTCACTGTGGCCTTACTCTTCGTAGCTCTGGCAAGCTATTTGCACACTGGAGAGAGGAAGCCAAAGCTGTGCTTGAAGGACAACACGTGCCCATTTTCAGACTGAAAAAGCGCAAGTTCCAGGAAGTCAGTCAGGTCAGTATTCACTTTAAACAGTAGTGTAATTACATGGTTAGTGAAATTTGAATAACTGTTAAAATGTTCTACAACAGAGAAATAACTATGTTTTCATCCCCATTTGCCTGACACAGGAGCCAGCAGTTGTTGAAGATCTGCGTCCTGCTGTGCAGTGGGTTGTCCAAAATAAGGCACTTTTCCGTGGACACGTAACAATGCCCAAATATCTGTCCTTAAATCAAGAGGACCAGCAGAGGGTCTTAAGAGACATGTCAGAGGAAGAAGACACTGGAGCAAGGGACTTGTTCCTCTTTGTTTTTCAGTTTGCAGAGGACATGGAGCTCTTTTTGAAAGCATGTGCTGATGAGCAGGGGCTAAGGGTCAGTGCTATGTTTGACATGTAATGGACAAATGAAGGCACTGGCTGTGTTTGTTTGTTTGTTTAATATGTTGTTGTTGTTGTTGTTTTTTTTTGTTTTGCGTTTTGCGTAGTACAAAATTCCAATTAAACTTATTTCAAAATGTTGTTCACTTTATTCTGTGTCCATACTTATAATAAAGGATTACAGTGTAACAGCATTAAATGTAAATGTAACAGCATTTTTTTTAAACTTGTAATTTCAAAATAAAAAGCTTATTGTTGATATTAACAGTAAAGAATTGTAATCAATAATATTTTTATACATTTTAAACATTAACACTCTGGGCTCTATCCTGGCCATTTGTGGACACTTCACTTATTCTTTTTTTTGACTACTGCACTGCAGTGGACCAAAAGAATGACACGGGTTTGATCTTAAGGATCTAATAGTTGTGTGTGTTGTGCATGACATTGCCACACAAATATGTATTTGCAAGATAGAGTAGAATAAATTATGACGCATGAAATATTACATAGGCTGCAGTGAATTTCTGTTGATACAGACTATTGAGCTTTGAGTTTCCCAGTCAAACTTAGCTTTGAAGCACCTGCTAAAAACACTTTTACTCTTGTACATTTCAAAACAAGACACCATAGCCAAAATATTAACAAAATATATATTATTAAAAAATTCAAAGCTGCAGCACATACAGCAACAAACACCGTTAGTAAATGTGTCCTGGAGTTTCTGCAGGTGCAGAAAGTGCTGCTGCTGTAAGTCAGCCTAACAGCTTCCAGATCACTTATTTTTCTGGAAAGATGGTAGGAAGGGCATCACTGCTCATTTCTACAGTCTCCCAGATCTTGGAATACAATCCCTTTGTACCATGAAACCACTTCGCAGTACTAGGAGTCCACTAAAACCTATAAAGAGAGTGATCCTGGAAGAAATGGGGCACACACTAGTGACCTCAACAATTGCAAGACAGCCTTTTCCCCGATGCTCAGATGGGGGAAAAAAGGAAGTTTCATGAAAACATTAGGACTTTAGGTAATATATAACCTAACTGGCTATAAAGAGTAAAAAATTTAGATACAATTTTGATTTTGATGAAAAGGACTGGTGCTATTTTAAAGAGTCACGTCGGTAAAAGTAGAAAATGTTTTAAGAAATATACATTTTATAGCATTTTGTGAACATACACAAAAAGTGGCCATTTTTGGCAACAAACAAGCTGAGAGAGTTTTATATTTTTGGCTCTCCTTGAACAAAAATAATAGTGCATAATAATCAATGTTGATGTTAATCAATTAGATGTCCCAGACTCTACTATTAATAATACAGCAGCCCCTCGTTTATCGCTGGTGTTACGTTCAAAAAATAACCCGCGGTAGGTGAAATCCATGAAGTAGCCAACTTTATTTTTTACAATTATTATAGATGTTAAGACTGTAAAACCCCTCACTACACTTTATACACTTTTCTCAGACAGGCATGAACATTTTCACACTTTTCTCTTTGTTTAAACACTCTTAGAGTTCAAACCTTCGTAGAAACATAAGTCCAGTATTATGGAATGAAACCTAAAGGTGCATTTGAGGGTGCAAAACGTTTCGTCGGCATTGTTGTGTTTGTTTGGGAGAAAACTTACAAACATACAGTACAGCACTTCAGAGTTACACTGCTAGCGATCGAAGATTTATGTAAATTCGACAAGCTAAACGCATTCTGTACTGTACAGCAGGAGTCCCCAACCTTTTTTGCACCACAGACCACTTTAATGTCAGACAATATTTTCAGGGAACGACCTTTAAGGTGTCGCGGATAAATACAACAAAAGAATAAAAAAAAGAAACTGTGGTATTTTGTAAATATAATAATAAACGTGACTTGAGCTGTGCGCCAGACAACAATGACAGTGACATCCTCCTCTCTGCTTCTTTAAGCTCTCTGGTCGCTATGGTAACGCGTAAATAGTTCTTTCAAAATAAGACACACAACTACAACCATACATTTCACACCGGAGGATCAACTCTCGCGGAACGGTACCAAAAGACTCACGGACCGGGGTCCGTGGGCCTAATTAGGGACCGCTCCTGTACAGGAGACACTGGACTAGATTGATTGACAATGGTCTACAGCAATCAGAACGCACAACGCGATGTACTGTAAAAAAAAAAAATAAAAAATCAGCGAAACAGCAAGTGTCACTTTTGGCCACGAACAATTTAGGGGATGGTGAATTTTTTTGAACAAACCCAGAGTGTTAAAAAACCCCCACTTAAAACCATTTTTTTCTCAGCAGCATCAATAGTACCAAAAACGCAATTTAGTTTTCGCTGTCAAAGTCGATTTAACCAAAGTTACGTGTTTACGGCAAGTGTGGAGGTCACGTGTTTCCGGTTACTGTGGAGGTCACGTGTTTCCGGTTACTGTGGAGCTCCACAGTGGCTGCAGCCAGATGCTCTTGGTTTTAGATGCAAAATGCCCAATATGGTCGTTGAATTGGTCGTGTAACGAGTCATCTGTGATGCCACCAAAACTGAATCATAATTTATATTAGTGCTGAGGACAATGCATCTTTTTAGGCTTTGCCAACACGAATTCTGCATAATCTTAAAAGCTCTTAGTTCCTGCCCTGACATATCCATAAAAATGGTGATCAAAAACCAAAACGATCATACATTCATATAAAAGCACAAGCCAAACTCCAATATAAAAAATATAATGAATAAATAAAATTGAAGAAACAAAGATAAAAAAAAAAGCGTAACATAAAATATATATAGAAATCAAAAGATAATAAAAATAATACTGAAAAAAATTAAACAACAAAATGACAAAAATAAAAAAAAAGATAGATAAAAAAGATTAAAAAAGTAATAAAAAAAAACAGAAAAACGAGAATAAACCTTGATTAAAAAAACAAAATAAAAATTTAAAGGCAACTAAAAAACGAAAAATAAAAGTTAAATAAAAAACGGAAATATAAGTAAAAGAGAAAAAAGAATATAAAAAAATCAACAAAAAAAAAAAAATTTTTTGAAACAAAAGAAGAGAAGTATAAGCGCATAGTCGTGAATGGTCTACGGTTCGTGATGCACAATGAATAAATTAATGGTGAGACATATTGGCTTCAACACGATGCTCTAAAGCTCTTGTCTGCCTACATATAATGGTCAAAAAGTCTCATCTATAGCCACCTAAGCAATCGTTTAAAGGTCACGATCCTCTTTCCCGATAAGTCACTGTAAGGTAGAACAGATTGGCATTAGAGTGTCGCTTAATGGGCATTAAGCCTTGGGTTTGTCTAGTATTTTTTTTAAAATAAATATATAAAAAGAAATTCACTAATCTTTAAGTCAGATAGCTGAACTAAAAATGCATCAAAGGAAATCAAGCCCACAAAATTATTCACTTAACGAAGGCACTAGTGTCAACTTAGTCTGCTGTTGTTCAAAACATTTAAAGAGGTGAAATATATGACAAATGACTGTTGTACAGTCGTCATAAAGGAGAAAATTATCTATAGAGGCCCTATTCATGCTTTTAAAAAAAACATTTAGATTAAATGCATTAATAATAATAATAAAAAAAACAACAGAAAATGAGAAACTTTGCATTGTCTTAGGCTGACCCTACTACTGCTGTATTTTCCAACCTGTTGTCAGCATGTCATGTTGTGAAGACCATATTCTTTTGATAAGATTAACATAGTTTCGCCAGCTAGTTTAATTTGACTCTATACCATAACACCATATTGTGAGAATCTGGTGTTTGT